GTGCTGCAACCCTGACAAAAGCCCAGCAGCAGCCTCCTGAGGAGGGGCCTGTAATCATGGAGCTGCAGAGGACTTTCCCAGGGAGACTGGAGGAGGAGGACTCCCTGACACGTGAGCCAGGCCAAGTGCAGAAGGAGCAGGGCAGGCCTCCAAACCAGGGGGAGACCGTGGAGGTGAGCACGGCACTAGGTCCAGTTAGGGGAGGGAGTACAGCTGGGGCAGAGCCCAGGAGGAGCCAGGGGTGCTGTAAAAAGTTTGGGGAGCAGGGAGTCCTAAAGAGAGACAAGCCTATGGTGATGGGGGTTGCAAACGCACTAAGCTGCATTTGCAGGAGCTCCCTCCCAAGTGCAGAGAGCCAGGGGAAGGCCTGGTCAGCGTGCATGGAGGTGGGGCTCCCTGCCCCTAAAAGTGCTGCCCAGGCTGCCTCAAGGGGCCGAGCAGACAGAACATGATGAGCTGGGCTAAGGCTGACACACAAACTCCTATGTCTACAGCTGCATCCACATCACGTGTCAGCTGAATCCCGGGGAATTTTGCACCCCTACCTGTCGTGGCTAAGCCTGCAATTAGCTGTAGTACAGAGTGATTGCAAATAGGGCTGTGGGGGCTGGAAGGAGCTGGAACAGGAGGCACTGATGGTGTAATGCTTGTGACTGCAGCTCCCGGAGGTGTTTGAGGAGGTGGCAGTGTATTTCACACGGAAGGAGTGGGAGCTGCTGGAAGATGAAGACAAGGTGCTTTACCAGGACCAGATGCTGAAGAATTACCAAGCCCTCATTTTCCTGGGTAAAGCTTTGGTTCTTGCTTCTCCTTTATGAGCTCTGAAGTTCATTGTCTTCTCCCTGTGTTTCAGCAAGTCTCGTCCTCATCCACTTTGGAGGCTGGAGGTTTACATTCCCTCCTTCTCCACTGCTGTGTCAGTGATCAGGCCTGTCTCACGTTTCATATTGATATATGCTCCTTCATTTGATCCAGCCACCTTCAGTTGAGTCTTCCCCATTGTTGTAATTCCTGTTGCTTCTGTTTGCATCAGTTTCTGGGCAACATGATCTCCTTCTGCCTTCTCAGCGTGTTCATACTGTCTCCAACTCATTGTACATAAATGTACTAAGAGCTGTTTATGGGGAATGGTTCTGATTTCCTCCCTCTCTTGCCTAATGTGTTTGGACAAGACACACTTATCAATCCTAGCATGGCCAGTTCTGTGATGTCTAAATTCCCTTTCTCCTCCTTTGGTTACGACCCAGCGGAAGTTAACAGAAGTCTTATCAGCCTCTGGTGCTACAACACATGGATGATGCATTTCTACATCTCTGCCTCTTAGGATATATGTACCTGTGATGGATCCCAGGTATTTCTATCATGGGGTCACTGGAAGCTTCTGTCCACAGTCCTTCCTAACATCTTCATCTCCATAGATCAGAGACTTTGGCTTTGCTTTATTTACATTAAAACCTGTGCTCTCAACCTCAGTCTGCCATTCTCAAATGTTTTCTTGTCCTCCTCCTAAAATCCCTTTGCAGATCACACGCCCATCACTGTGATAAGAAGAAGTGGGCTAGGTGCAGGGCCTAGTGAAAACCAGTTTTCATTTCCAGAGGATCTCTAATACAGGGGCTTGTTTTGGCCTGTGCTCAGTGTCAAGGTACTTCACTTTTTACTAGGTCAGTTGTCTTTTCTGATGCTTTCTTTCCCCTCCATTTTCCCCAGAAGATTGTGTAAGGAAGTGGTCAAATGATTTCTCTAGCTCAACAAAGACCATGTAGACCATTTCCACATTATGGGCTTTCACGTGCTGTGCAATGTGTGTCTTTCTGCCTTCTTTTGCCCAGTTCCATGATTCGCAGTTGTGTTAAACGCTGCAGTATTTGCCAATCTGTGCACTCATCTCCTCTCCTGGGTTGATCCTACCATTGGATAGCATGATTGCTTAGTTGTTGCTACAGTTATTATAAAATAATCCTTTCCTGTGGCCTGTTGATGCTGAATTGGCCTCTCCCAGGAAAAAAAGTCTCCTTGTCAGCCATCTGTCACAGATTCTTTTCACTGCCACGAGTCCTCACTTTTTAGCTCATTCCCACTCCTTTTCCTGGAATTCCACTGATAAGATAAATGTTTTCCATCCGTAACAGCATCCAATGTCTCTTCATTTTGGTACCTTGAAAACAGTAAAAGCTTTATCTTTCTGCTCTCTAGTACATCACAGATCATTGAGTCTCCACACCTGTCCATGGTGACTGTCAGTTTAGTGCCCTTTCTGCACGAGGAGTGTTCAGTGGTTTGTTTCCTGTGACCATCCCACCACTGCCTGGGTGACCAGGTACATCATTTAATGAAGGCTTCTCTCTGCAGCGCCTTCTCATCCATCCTAAATGCCCATCCTCCCTTGTCCATTTAGACCATAGTAAAAACCTTGAGCTCATTGGATCCATTCCCCAAATCCCAGTAGGTTATTCTGCATCCACTACCGAGTCACAAACCCTCTTTAACTACCACCCTAAACAGGATATCAAGGTCCTACACCTGACTTAATATGCCGCATCCAGCGAGGAGAGGTGGAGCTCTGGGCCTGTGATGATGAGGATGGTGGGAAAATCTCAGAGTTGGAGAACCTGCTGCCAGGTGAGTGTGGCTGTGCATCTCCCCTGGCTCCCCTCTCAGAAATAGGGCAGGTCTGCAGTTGGCCAGAGTGCCAGGGAGACCTGGAAACTGCAGACCTGCCCTATGTTGCCATTCCAGGGTGCTGACCTCAAATACAGTATATAATGCTGCAGTGTGTCAAGGCAGGTGTTGTTCCCATCATAGGCAATGGAAGGGGGACTAACAGGACTTAGCCCCCCCCAAATGCAGGGCAGTGGTCAGGCCACAAGGCAGCCTGGCTGTGGACTTCCAGTAGCTGCAGCAGGGGTGCAGAGGGATGTGCAGGCGGGAGTGAGTTGGGCTAGGACTGGGGGAAGGGCAGGCGCTCATGGTGGGGCACGGGACTGAGCCCCAAGTGGCTTGTGGGGGGCGGGGTGCAGCTCCTACTGCTACCTGCAACTCGGGAGGCATGGGTGCGTGACCCCGGATCTGCGCGGGGTAGGGCGGATTGCAGCTGCAGGCTGGGGCTGGGCTCTTCGTCTCTGTGGCTCTGAGTGTCACAAATCCTGAGGCTCAGCACCAGTGGTGCCCTGTGGGGTCAGGCCAACTCTCAGGATCTCAATATTGAGCTGTTAGACAGGAGGGTGTGACACATTTGCACATATACAAACACACAAATCAATTGGATGCACGCACGCACACCCCTCAGGCACATACACATCCAAACTAGCCTAGGCACATGCATACCTATCACCAATTCAAGCACATACAATATACACCCCAAAAGATGGACAAAAATCAGTTGTCCATACTCGCACACTCAGATCACTAATTCATATATCATACACACAAGACATATATACACACATGCATACACACTCACCAGTTCACACACATACAACCCACCTACACATAGGTAAGTTCCTAACTTGGATGGCACGGTATATATGTGTGTGCTTGGGATACCTGGGGAAAGGTTAAGGTGAGAGGGAGAGAGTTAAAGTGTAGGGAGTGGAAGTTGCCAGAAATGAGATTAGAACCAGTGGACTAGAGAGAGCCTGGCTGAGGAACTGAGGCTTGGGGTTACTTAAGGTAGATTGGGGCTGGAAACTGAGGCAGACAGCTAAGATATTGGTGGGGGCGGAGATAAGTGGTGGCAAGGAGGAGACAGCCAGGAAAGAGAGAGAGAGAGGCAGAAACCTGGTATCTTGAGACAGGAAACAGGATGACAGCTTAGAGACTGGGGGCGCAGATAAGTGGTGGCAAGGAGGAAGCAGTCAGGAAACAGACAAAAACCCAACTCGGAGTTTCAAAATAACAGTTTTATTAAACAGACAGCACACTACACAGCCCCATGAAGGTATTGGTTCACACACACACTCACATGGCAGCAGGAAAAAGAGACTCAGTGGAAGGGCTGAAGTCCACGTAGGGAAGAGAAGCAGAGTCCAAGTCCTTGGTTGAAGAGGGGGTGATAGCTACTTATCCAGGCTGGAAAGGGGTCCTTGTCCGGTAGGTGTTGTCCAGAGGGGAGTTGCTGGCAGGGCCTCTGGGTGGATAGGTAATGTGGCATGGTGCTGGTCCAGATGGAGAGGGCGTCCCAAAGGGTCAGTCTTCACTACCCCTTTTTATGGGGCAGACTACCTCTGATCTCCTATGGGGAGGGCCTGTCCAGGCAATGTCAGTTCTGTCCCAGAGGGATCCAAGTGTTCTTACTGAGTATGTGCAGCCTTGGCACAGTAGCAGGTTGCCTCATCTTTTGTTTCCTGAATGCTGAGGGTGGTTCCAAGGGCTGGCTCGTTGGTCCAGGTATTTGTGTTGATGGTTCGGTCATTCAGAGGGAGCTATTTTTAGACCTACTGCCATTGTCTCTCAAGTACCCTCATTCATCCCCATGTATTCAGGAACCAAGTTACATAGGAGGGGTAGATGTAAGTCATGGGTTACACAACCGGGCCTGGGGACAGGATGGAGACTTGATAAACAAAATGGAAACTTGACATGACTTATGGTAACTTACGTATGGAGGCCTAAATTTTATATAGTACCAGTAAAACAGTAATATAGAACAGTACAAAGCAATATAAACATAATAATTATACGATATAAAGAAGGAGAAAAAACAAAACAAATACAAGTTGCTACCAAAATAAAATGCTGAAGGTTATCCTATGTCTTAGCTTACTTATACTTATCTATAGGGAATAGAGAGGGAAAGAAAAGTCAGAAATGGTTGGGAAAGGGGAGGGAATGCATTTTAAAAGAAAAAAAAAATCTGGGGGTTTTGCTACACCAGAGTCCAGGCTGGGGCTTATCAAGGCCTCAGACCTGGTGCAGACACATGTGACATGCAGTGGTACCCATCAGCAGTGGAAAGCTCCGTGGGTTCATTCCCTGCACCAGACCTTGCACTAGAAGCAGGCAGGAAGCACACTCCTCTCAGAAGAGAGACCCACAGCTCTAAGTCCTCCCCTCCTCCTCCATTAAAGCAGGGGTTTTCAACCTTTTTAAGGAGTTGGGTGCACTTCTGGCAAAGCAGAGGAGGGGAGGTGGTGGCAGCCAGATGCAGAGCGGGATGGGGCTTGCATGCAGCAGTGGCAGCGTGTAGTGGTGGATGGCTGTGGTGGTTGCTGCATGTAAGCTCCCTCCTGCCACGTCCTACTGGCTAGGTGGTGCCTGTGTGGCCTACAGAGGGGAGCTGCTGCCCCCACCCTGTCCTGGGAGGCAGCAGCGTGGGGTGGTGGGCAGTAGCACTCTGTCCCCACCCGCCCACACGTACCCTCTAGCCCCTTTCCAAGTACCCCTGGGGGTATATGTACTGCCAGTCAACAACCCCTTTCAGGCACTGTCCTAATGCATGTGTCCCGTGTGCTTCTCCCAGCAGGGCCTCAGGTGATGGGGCTGAGACCCGGGCCAGAAACTCTTGAGAGTCTGGCTCTGAACTCCACCGAGTAGGGAACATTAGCCTGACCCTCCTTCATGTCCAGCACTTGGGGTTTTGAAAGAAAGACCTGATTTACTTGAGGGCACACAAGTGCTGAGGTCCAGGCCTGCTCTGAGGCCCCTCCCAGTAGAAGGAATAGCAGTGTTTGCCCTTTGCTGCAGGGCAGGGACCAATCTGGGGTTTGTCTTCCCCACACAGGAGGTGCCTGGCTGCTGAGCAGAGCTGAGAAGCCACATCGATGCTCCGAGTGTGGGAAGAGCTTCACCTTCTCCTCTGGTCTGATCCAGCACCAGCGCATCCACATGGAGAAGAAGCCGTATCATTGCTTAGTATGCGGGAAGAGCTATACCGAATCCTCCCACTTGTGTCAGTGCACTGCTGCTCGGCCAGGGGAGAAGGCACATCGGTGCTCAAAATGTGGGAAAAGCTTCACCCAGTCCTCTACCCTGGCCAAGCACCAGTGCATCCACAAATGGAAGAAGGCACATCGGTGCTCAGAGTGTGGAAAGAGCTTTACCTTCTTTTCCTATCTGGCCCAACACCAGCTCATCCACACCGGAGTGAAGCCATATCATTGCTCGGAGTGTGGAAAGAGATTCACCCAATCCTCCCACCTGGCCCAGCACCAGCGCCTCCACACAGGGGAGAAGCCATATCGGTGCTCAGTGTGTGGGAAGAGCTTCACCCAGTCTGCCCATCTGGCCCAGCACCAGCACATCCACACAGGGGAGAAGCCATATCGGTGCTCAGAGTGTGGAAAGAGCTTCACCTTCTCTTCCTATCTGGCCCGACACCAGCGCATCCACACAGGAGTGAAGCCACATCAGTGTTTAGAGTGTGGGAAGAGCTTCACCTGCTTATCTACCCTGACCAAGCACCGGCACATCCACACAAGAGTGAAGCCACATCAGTGCTCTGTGTGTGGAAAGAGCTTCACCTGCTCATCTGAACTGGCCCGACACCAGCTCAACCACACAAGGGAGAAGCCACATCGGTGTTCAGAATGTGGAAAGAGCTTTGTTTGGTCCTCTGAACTGGCCCGACACCAGCTCATCCACACAGGGGAGAAGCCACATCGGTGTTCAGAGTGTGGGAAGAGCTTCACTCGTTCCTCCCACTTGATCCGGCACCAGATCGTCCACACAAGGGAGAAGCCACATCGGTGCCCAGAGTGTGGGAAGAGCTTCACCCGCTCCTCCCACCTGATCCAGCACCAGATCATCCACACAAGGGAGAAGCCACATCGGTGCCCAGAGTGTGGGAAGAGCTTCACTCGCTCCTCCCACCTGATCCGGCACCGGCTCATCCACACAGGTGAGCAGCCACATCGGTGTTCGAAGTGTGGGAAGAGCTTTGTTTGCTTCTCTGAACTGGTCCGACACTATCTCATCCACACAGGGGAGAAGC